GATTCCTATCAGAAGCACACGAATTATACCAATTAACCACGCTAGTCAGATCAGATCAATCAAACGCGGCAGGCACTAAAGCTTCTTAAAATGCATCTAATAAAGCATCACGGATCAGCAATCAGACTGCAGACCGGATCAAGCCTATGGAGTTACAGTAACGATCCCGGTATCATTTCGACAAATGTTTTAAAACTATAGTTTTATCATTCCCAAAGCACCACACCAAACTTAGTAGACTGACCAATTCAGATCATTCAGCGGCAAACTCACATTATGCCTCAATTTTACAACCCAAACCAGTCATAATGTAAATTAGGTAAAACTTCACACTGCTAACAGTAACACATGGTTAATCACATTAATCATCATGTGCTAAAACGCCGCACGTGCCAGGTGCATTTAGTGATAAGTTTTAGAAACAAAATCACAATGTGGCTAAGGCCTTGTTTGGTTATACTACCAAATCATGCCTCCCTGTGAAAGAAAGCTTCCTGTGGCATGGAATTACATCAAATCGTCACAATCAATTCCCACTTGTACCAAACGAATCGCAAAAAAATTGAATAATCCAAAGTTTGGTTAAACAAGTATAAAATATACCTTTTATCTTTATCTCTCTTGAAACAACTATGGAAGAGTTTTTATTCCACAAATTTCAAACGCGGCAAAGCCAAAAATGCCAAAAAAGACAGCATCACGGATCAAATCAGACTGCAAACCGGATTTTCAAAAGTTACAGAAACGATCCCGGAAAATGTTTTAAAACTATAGTTTTGCATTCCCAAAAAGCACCACACCAAACTTAAGACTGACCAATTCAGATCATTCAGCCTTTGGTTGGGCTTTTGGCTTAATGTAAATTAGGTAAAACTTCTGCCAAAAAAGCCAAAAGCCAAAATAAGTTTTAACCAAAATCACAATGTGGCTAAGTTTCCACGTTATGTCTCACCAATTAATATCTGCCTCCAGGACTAGCAACTTGGAGTATTGGAAAATCTCCAGATTACCAAAGATGAGATGAGGCAAGAAACACAACAAAGCTGTTTAAAAAAAAGACTATTCAATGTACAAATATTTCTACGCCCATAGTTTTTTCGTCCAAAAACAACAGGCCTGTTTGACCTAACAATTCGGATTATTCAATCATCAAACCTCCTCAATTATCTAACATTAATGATACACCAAAAGTAACATTGCAGTTCAAATACGCAAAACCAAGCAGGTCAACCACTAGAGTATGTAATCTAGCATAATCCACCATACCAAAATGCCAATCTCTTACCAAGTCAAAAATAAAATTATTGCACAAAACAGTCAGCGTTCTTTTATGTCCAATACACAAATCATAAATTCATAACCTGCAATTCAACTAAGATATATACAAGCACGGCACAAAATAGCAGGATTTTGGTCCTATAGGCTGGATTACACCTGCAATTGAGATCGCAGAGCAGTATTAAGAGATCGGAGGCTTCGACACGGATATTCTTACCCCCTAGCGATCGGACGGGCGAAGCGCCACCTCTCGCTTGGTGACGACGTGTCCCTTGTTTATGCCAACGAAGAGACCTGACTTGGCCTGCGTCGGTGCCATGGCCGGTCTCGTGCTAGCTACTGCCGACCAAAAGCAAACGCAATCGAAGAAACCAAATCGAATTAGACACAAAATGAAGCTGAGATGAAACGAACGCATTCGAAGAAACCAAATCGAATTAGACACAAAATTAAGCTGAGAGACTTATAGCTTCGGGTGCAATTGGGATTGAAGACGGCGCTTGAGGTTACCTGAGTGGGGCGCGAGTGAAACCCTAAGCCGCCGGGCCCGGATCTCGCCTCCTCCACCGCCATCGCCGGATCTACGCGGTGCCGGTGTAGGAGCCCGGCAACCCTCCTCGTCCTCCTCCACGGTGTCGATCCCCGCCATGGCTGCTACCTAGACCGCCGCGTCCGCGAGCGCACCTCGCCGCCCGCACCCTCCCACCAGCGGGGACGGCCACCGCCGCCGCGAAGGGGAGCGCGGACGCCTCCGGGCCCGGATCTCGCCTCCTCCACCGCCATCACCGGATCTACGCGGTGCCACCGTTCGCCAGAGACTGGTGAGGAGGGATGGCATGCCCTGGAAGCCGCAACCCTGCCCTCGCACTCGCCGCCGCAGCCACCGCCCTCGTCCTCACACCGCCCTCGCACTCGCTGCCGCAGCACACAGAGAGAAAGAAGGGCCCGAGAAAGAACACAGCGACTGAGAGAGAGGGGCCGGCCTGCGTTGGTCCAAAGAGAATAATACATGAAAACACTGTAGTACTTCAATCGTACTCTGAACATTATTTTTCTATCCTTGATTTACTGTTCTACCCTCAATTACGTAAAATAATTTCAAAAATAGAAAATTTCCCACTTTTTTCATGTGCTGATCCGATCAATTTTAGTATGCACCCGGTGCGTATGGTCCCACCATTTAGTATGCACCTGGTTCCTCTTGGTACCTCTTAAATTGGTTCTTCTCGGTTCCTTTGCCTTTTTAGCCGTCGGATCGATCCTCGTGAGCCGTCCATTTTATGACAACCATCGTAAAAATTCTCTAATTTGAAATGTTATTACGAAGGAACATGTAGGCAATTAAATTTTTTTGGTTAGCAGCCAACCAAGGTACCTGCGATGCAGTAGAGTAAACGAAATTTGCATAGTGCATAGGTCTACATGTGTTTCTTTTAATCGAGTTTCAAAATTCATTTGCTCTTAGTATTGTGACCAAGGCACAATTAACAGTAAAAGAATAAGGTGCATAAAAAAAAATTACAGAGTTCAATTGGGGAGCCTGCAGCGTTATCACTGGTTGGCAATTAATTTTTAACGTTATCAGCAAGGATCTTATAGGCCATGAAATTACGATAATTGAGATGGAGCGGAGGAGGGACGCACCACTGGCCCACATCTTGCCTTAGAGCGATGGCAGCAGCAGCGTGGAGAGAGGAGTTACATCTGGCATCCCCGGCGATGGCCGCGAGCGTTGATGCGAGGGCGCGGCGTGCAGTGGGAGACGGCGGAGCGGGCCGGGGCTGCGCCAGCCTCACTGGCGAAGCGGGGGCCGCCTGCTGGGAGCCCGCAGGTAGGAGGGCAGGTTGGGGCGGCGTGCGGCGGCGGCGTTTCGTGGTTGTGAGTATAGTTTTCCAAACGTGCCGGCACAGCACTACACGGCACTAGCCCGCCCCGGCACGGCACGCCTGGGCACGGCACGCTAGGCACGGCTGATGAACCGTGCCGTGCCGTGTCGTGCCACCATGCCCGACTCCAGACACAGGCACGACACTATCATTCCTGGAGCGTGCCGTGTGGTGCCTTGCCGACTTCAGGGCCAGCGTGCCCGTGCCGGCCCAGGCACTAAACTGGCAAAACCCCTCAATGAATTCAGCACAACAATTCAAAGAGATCTAAAATGACTAAGTTCACAAAAGATTAAAAACAGATCAGAACACAACACAGCAAAGAACACAAACTTTTGAAACTAAAACTAATTTAAGTAGGAGCTGTGCAATGGCTGCCCGACGCCTGGGGCCATCTCTGCCGTCTCCGGTTCCTCGACGGCTGCCACAATCAACAGATAAAAGCAGGGTTAGGTTGGAGATTAGGATTTGGGTTTAGGTTAGGGTTAGGGTTTACCCTTACCTCTATGGCCGGAGCCCTGTAAACGACGACGATGAGACAGACCGATTACACACCCCCGGTACCTCAACGGAGACCGGAGCCCTAGAGGTGGCGGCAGCCAGCAATGTGGACGACGGACAGATGACGGAGATGCGGCGAGGATGCCGAGAACGAGGCTCAATCGACGTTCAGGGATGAAGAATAAGGGAACAGAAGGAGATTGAGGGCGGGAACCACCGGATCTGAGGGAGAAGAGGGAGATTGAGGGCGGAGAGGGAGAAGAGGGAACCATCGGCCACCGGAACTGACCCCTTACCCGCCGGAAGACTCCATGGTGACGGCGTCGAGGAGCCCAGGTTACGAGTGCGGCGAAGAGCGGCGAGCAGGCGAGGAGCTAGGGTTACGAGTGCGGCGAGGAGCGGGCGAGCGACAGAGTGAGCGGGGAGAGCCAGAGAGGAGAGGGCGAGACCGCGAGAGGCTAGGGTTACGAGTGAGGGTAGTGGCCGAGTGGGGAGAGCGGCCGCATCGGGCGGTTTATATATCGGCCGCCCGACGATCCAACGGCTCGCGCCCTTCCTCCGCGATCCAACGGCTGCTAGCCGTGCCTGCCCCGTGCCACCCGTTGGAACGGGCCGTGCCTGGGCCGGCACTATGGGCCGACCTTTTGGCCCAGGCACGGGCACGGCTACGGGCCGGGCCAGGCACGGGCACGGGCGAGGCCGGGCCGTACCAGGCTAGGGCCGTGCTTTTTCGCAGCGGGCCCGTGCCAGCCCGTTTCGCGCGGCCCGTTTGGAAATTTATAGTTGTGAGGGCGTCGGGTTGTTTGCTGGCTGCATGCTGCGGGCGTGGAGGAAGGTTCGAGGTGAGGCCAGCAGGGATGAGGATGGGACGGACGGCATCACTTGACGGACGGGTTTGAAAGGCGACGTGGAGGCAGGCTTTTGCGGTTTTGGTATCTATCTGTACTCCTCCGTACTTTAAAATAAAATCGTTTTGAATAACAACACGGTCTCCAAATATTACTTTGACTTCTTATTTTTATAAAAATATTTATTAAAAAATGATATATGTATATTTTTATAAAAGTATTTTTCAAGACAAATCTATCTATATGGCTTTCATAATTTTAAACTCAACAACTTAAAAGTTATTTATGATTTATATTTGTTTGATCTAAACCTTGTTCAAAATGACTTTAATTTTTAGTACGGAGAAAGTATAAGTCTTAAAGGTTTGGCTTCTACGTACAAAATGATTCGGTCACCGACAGATTACAACAAACCGAAATTAACTGAGCTCAGATCGATCTTTGCGTTAAGTGACCTACTAGACGACAGCTTCCCCAACCTGGCAACCTACACGGTATCCTCTTGCTCTGAATCCGCGTCATCACTGTCTGCAGCGACCTTAGGTCTCCCCATGAAGGAGTTCTGTCTCGACGGCGCTTTCTTGCCGCTGGTCGCCGAGTCTTTCTTCAGACCCAGGTAGGTGTAGAACGACATGCCGCCGAGTGCGATGACGGCTCCGCAGACGCTGGTGATCCCAGGGTCGGAGCCGAAGATCAGGTAGCCGGAGAGCATGATGACGATGGTTTTGAATTGGCCCAGCACAACATGAGACAAAGCTGACGTCGCACTGAAGCAATACACAACGAATTATTATTAGTCACTTAAAAAGCTACTATTACGTAGGAGTAGGCATCATGGCCACATGATTTTGTTTCATCAATTTTCTTTTCTCCTGCAAAAGGTTGCAAGTTAATTAATTCTTAGATTGTGGATTTGTAGTGGCATATTTTTTCCATGCGGTTGCCAATTAGCAGACACTGGAAAAATCTTACTGAAAGTTTATAGTTTTGCAGGTTGTTGGTTTCAGTTTTATAAGAAAGAAAGGCATGTTGTACTAGCTCTTTTCAAAAACGAATAATGTGTTTCTTCGTAAAAACCAAAACATTTTTGTGTAAATTTACCAATACAAGCGAATCAATACTAGATTCCTTTTTGACTGAAGTATGAATGAAGAAAATAAATGGAAGATTGCAAATCTTATCAAGTCCTTTTCATGAGACACTATCCAACCAAGATCCCAAAACTGGTAGGTACATTTTGCTTAAGCAAACAAGAAGCCACGCATATTATTTGCCCACTGTTATGTTGTTTTATTATGTTGTGCGTCAGCAATTACATTTCGTCAGGTAATGACTTGTCAAAACTTGGATAGAGAAATGGCAGTTTGAATGAAATAAGCAATGATGTATCTCACCCGAGTGCCAAAGCACCAGACCACTGAAGAAGGAAACCGAACAATGCAGAAATGATAATAGCACAGCTGTTTCTGAAGTTCCAATTGAACAACAACAAGCCAGGGGGATCCAGCAAAGGCATCAATGTCAATAAGAAAAATATCGTAATTGGAGTAGTCTTCCACATTAGCCTGGTTTAATAATGGATAATCTGAGTTATTATAAGGTAATAAAGTTATGAATAACCTGAATCAAAGAAAGAAAAAAACAGAACATACGCAAGGGCGGTCCAGTTTCCACTCTGTTGCAAACTTGACCAAAGGATTTTGTTCACGGCACTAGGAACAATCCATGCTAATGCGACACAAGCACCGAAAAAGTTGAACTCCAAATCAGTAACAGTCGCTACAGCGACTCCAAATGACACAACTGCCAGTGTGACAGCCTGTAATGTCAAAGTGAAATTTCAAAAGAACATAGTTAGCGACCAGACAAAGTAATACACCATACAGATGGTGTGAGCAGCGGTAGTCTGGTAGAGGGACAAAAAAGCATGTACACTTCCTTTTTTTTTGTTCGTTTTTTTGCTTACTTATTTCATAGTTGAATTATTTCCAGAACCATGTTATAATAGTTGGCCTCAAAGCAGTAAAACATTGTGGAAACACATTTTGTTGCAGCAAGCCTACCTTTTGAGAGGAAACTTTCTTCTGGAAAAGCATAAATTCGGCTACGACAATTGTTGGGGTTACAGCAATCTTAGCCATTTGATAGAAACCTACACTGAATAGCAAAAATACTGAGAATACATGAAGGCAATATTACAAAATTTATGTAAGCGCACATCACTTAACTTTCAAATGGAATCTGGTTTACCTATTATGTTTCAAACTCACGTTGGCTAGCCCAGTGGACAGGGACATTACAGTACCCAAAGCAAATATAGAAGAGAAAGGAGTGGATTTCGATGGAGGAGCAACCGGTAACAAGGATAATGTCTTAAGGGTAGCCATTAGAACAAATGCAACTGCGTAATGAATTAATGAGAGTGCAATTGGGAACTTAAATCCAACACTCCCCATCACCTGCAAGACAATAGATCACACATAAAAATACTTGAAACTCTAACAAAGGGACGTATAGGATAAATAAACGTAAGTTCTCAAAAAAAAACGCAGGTTATCGTGTACAAGTCATACCATTTTATTTGCCATGATAATCCCAACAGCAATAGCAAAATTGAATGTCAGTGCAACACTTGGTCCACAGAATCGCTGCTGCTGGCGCTTAGCACCTTCTGAACTATGCATTTCATTGTACAAGGAGCTTCGCAACTCCTCCAGTGCCCGACCTGGTAAGTTCAACAGCACGTAGGGGCAGAACTCAATTTTCTTTATTATCACTTATATCAGCTAACACCTGTGAGGTAACTTTCCATCCTCCTTGCTTAGTCATCACACTTTGTATTGTTAAAGCAGCTCAGGATTAAACATGGTATATGATTGCATATGTTCTTAAAGTTGGCTTCACTTCTCCAGCCAATTCGCCTTACAATATTTATCCTTTCCTTAACAATTCAATCATACATTCATGAGCACCCATAAGCATTTTCAACTAATGTTTTACTTACACAGTATTAGAAAAGAATAAATTAAAAAAAAAACTGAGAAACAGAAAGCTATATATTTCTAAAGTTATCCATAGATTGCAGTTTAACTTCTCATGTGGAGCTAGCTTTCTTATGCATAGCATTGCAGGAACATTCAAAATGGCAGGCGGCCCAACATATACTAGTTTGAAAGTCACAAAAAAAACATATACTAGTTTGAAATCTTGAATGGGTAAGGTTTAAAAGCAAGTGAAAATACTGGTATTCTTATTGTCCCAAACCATTACAAAACAAGCAATGAGGTCATAGTTCATTCAGGTCATTAGGTCGTATTGCCCCAAACCTTAATCAGCATGTTCGCTTGTTGGTTTCAGCCAGGGCTTATCAACCAGCTCAACGGTGTTTTTCTTTCACAATAAACCAGCACCGGCCGGGTTTATCAGCCCAGAAACCGACCTGCAACCAGGCTGAATGTGTCTGTGTCACATTCAAAAGTTCACATGCCAAACAGAACACTCATCAACCTGTTCGGTTGGCTGATTCGTTTCGTTGCTAGGTTCGTGAAGAAGTACTGCTGGCTGGTTTGTGTGAGAGAAAAATACTATTCCAGCTAGAAAATTTACGATCGTTTACGACAAGCCACAGCCAAACGAACAGGCTGATATTGATTATGATATTCTCTTTGGTCTGTCCTTCCTCTCAGGAAACCATTCATCGTGTTGCGGACTTTAGGGCAGTAACAGCAGGGCACTGATTATTAGTGAACAGGTAGAAGCAGAAAAGGACAAACAAAGAGATGTGAATCAGCAGGTCCTAGTTCCTTTTCCTGTCGATTACATCCATGAATGGTGATGCGTCACGGAAGAAGGATGCTGGAGTCGATGAGGGGGGAACAGACAAGAAGAAAAATACTCAGCTACAGCTACAGTGCACCCAGTTCCTAAGCTTTACTCGACCACGCGAGATGTGGCAAGATGGGAGGATCGGAAACAAGAAAGGAAAATCACATCTTCTGCCTGCAAATAAAGATGCTGAAAACAGGCAGCAACTATACGATGCCCACGAAACGGGCGTTGGAAAAGATCGAAGAATCCAAACAGAACGTGTCAAGCAACAACTTTGCCGTTCGCGGGAAAAGTGAATGGCTTTCATGCCATTTTTTCTCCGCACCAGAATCCTCCGAGAGGCCGCAGCAGCTACGAGGAGGTGACGACTGGCCAGTAAGGTGAAGGTGGCAACTGCAAACGCAAAAAAAATGTGGGTGCAGTTTTTATCCGCACCAAACTGACCTAAAAGATCTCTTCAAATGCGGAGAAAAAGGACTGGGAAACTGAATTGGCACCCACGCCACGAACACCAACCGCCCAGAGCCAATAAGGAAGAGCGCTCTTGTTTGGCCATCAACCCCAACAGACGGCCGGCGGAAAGGATTTTGAAAAATGTTCAGGAACAAGAGGAACAGATTAACAGGATGGTGGGGATGCGAACCCGTCTCGCCGGCGTCGCTGTCCTTCCGCTTGATGAATCTCCTGCCGCCGCCGGCGAGCACAGCCTCCCAGACGCCCATCGCCGTCACGGCCACCAGCTCCGACGCGTCGGCGCGCCACCACGGCAGCTTCGTCATCTCGCTAGCCTTTGTTTGCCCTCCACCGCCTCTCGGTCGCGGCCGCTAGATAGACGTTGGGGGGATTGCAACCAGACGCCAAGCCAAGAACAGCAGCACCACCACCACCGTGAAAACACAAGCAGGAGGAACCCAGGCGGAGGAGAGGCCGGCCAGGACGAGCGGGTAGGGGTGCCTGCGCGGCGCGGGCGGGCGGGTGGTACGTGCCGTGCCGGGCTATTTTAAGCGCGCGCCCTGCCTCGTTTTAGCCGGCCCGTTGTGCCGCCGTGGTGCGGCCCGCGGGCGAGTGATGGCGACGACGGGCAGGGTGAGTAGCAATCAAGGTGGCGCTCGCGAGGGGCCGCAGCCGGTTAGGCCTGGGTTAGTTCCAAAAATTTTCAACCCAAACTATCATATTAAATCTTACGACACATGCATGGAGTATTAAATATAGATAAAAAAATAATAATTACACAGTTTGATTGAAAATCACGAGACTAATGTTTTAAGACTAATTAGTCCATAATTAGCCATAAGTGCTACAGTAACTAACATGCGCTAATGATGGATTAATTAGGCTTAATAAATTCGTCTCGCAGTTTTCAGACGAGTTATGTAATTAGTTTTTTTATTAGTATCCGAAAACCCCTTCCGACATTCCCAAAACATCCGATGTGACGTCCAAAATTTTTCATTTCGCGAACTAAACACAGCCTTAGTGCCCGTGTACTATCGTGGGCAAATGAGATTTGGTTCCGTATTCCCGTCAGGGTTTATCACCAGGTAATTCAGGTGGGTGTGGGTGGTTTGCCCCAATTTTTTACAATTTGATCATTTTTTGAAGAAAATTTACGTTTGATCCCCTGGGAGACTTAAATTCATCTTTGGACCCTGGGGTCGGCGCCATGACTTATGGCACCGAGGTAACATATCTCGGCGCCACAGATCTTGGCGCCGAGGTGCCTGGCCGTGCACAGGAGGGTATCCAAGGTGACGTTCACGTGGTCGGTACCTCGACGCCACAGATCTTAGCGCCGAGCTCGGCGCCATGTGTTCTGGCACCGAGCATCGATTAAAAACCCAAAGTCAAGCTTCCCTTACCGACGCTGCTCTCATTTCTTCCTCCCCCCCTCGGTTTCTTCCTCTCTCTAACCCGCTCAATCTCTTGAATCGACGAATTTGACCTTGGATATTTGATTTGATCCATGCATCTTCGCGAGCAAGGTATTCTTTCTCCCCTTATTAAATTTTACGCATTGATTTGGTATATATTACGTCTATTTTGCAACACTAGATACGTTATTACCTAATGTTTGAAGTGATTTTTTATTTTTTGTATTATGTAACGGTAGGATGCCAAGGCGTGGTAAAAATAGTAAGCAAAGGTAATCTCTTATCATCGTGTTATATTATATTTTCATTTATGTGCAACAAATAGAAAAACTCTAGGTTTAGGGTTTAATGTTCACTGCTTTTGGTTCTTAGAACAAATTTGATTCAATTGTAGTTATAGCCGGATGATCGAAAATGCCTTCGACCCGTTGCCTCTGCCTAGTGGTATTCCAATGCTCATGTGCTTTTGCGACGATCCTTGTAAGGTAGCCAAGTCCGATGAAGAGAACATGTATATGCAGATGTATTAGATGTGTGACAATTTTACGTTTGAGCCTATACTTCATCAGCGCCGCATTAACAAGATGGTGAGAAATTGATGTTGTTTAATATTTATTTTGTGTCAAATGAAGTTTTGTATGATTTATTTGTTTTGTAACAATTGCATTTGTTGCAGACCCCTCCACCGCTCTGTGATTTTGAGCAGTAGATCGACACTAAGATCAAGCCGAAAGATAAGGAGTGGATGCAGAAACTATTACGGTGGGAGACAGAGAATAAGGAGATGATGGAGAAGAGACGCAGAGAGGAGGCTCTAGAAAAGGAGCACAAGAAAGAGGAGGAAATGAGACGTGTTGCTTCGCACATGGAGGAGAGGGAGAGAAAGCTTGAGCGTGCGCAGCGATCGAAGGCAGCGATGAAGGAGAATCCTGATGCCCAGATGAAGGGAAAATTGTCTCGTTGTACTCAGTAGTCTTCATAACTTGCTAGTTCTATGGTATATTCACGAACGATGTTGTTTAATCTTGGACTTTGTATTGTGTTGTCATGTAATGCACTTTTAGTTTATCGTCATGTACTTCAAATGTTGTTATGTTGATTATGTGCTCTATTATTGGACCTTTCATAGTGTTGTTGGTTTCATTATTTGTTATCATAATATTGAGTTTAATATTGCATAGGTAGTAAAACGAGCTCACATAGTGCAAATAAATCGTAACGAAATAGTGGATTACCTAATTCAACACACACAACACATGAAATAGCATGTGATAACATGTACCAAACTAGGGTACAGAGGTCCTGAACTAAACCTAACATGCCTTAGGTAATTGAAGCAAACAACAAGCACATGAAATGGCATGTGAGAACATGTGCCAAACAAGGGTACATATTTCCTTCGACTAACCTTAACATGCCTTAGATGATTAAAGAAAAAAACAAACACATGGATGTTGCTCGTTAAAAAGATTGGTTTGTCCTAGTAGTGTGGCCACATAGCAAATTGTGTTGCACCTTCTCCAAAGTATCCTCCCATTGTTGGTGGTGGTGGCGGCAGAGGACTCTTGTTCCTGTGATTAGGGCAGGTGCAATATGAATCATTGCAGAGTGCCTCCTGTGAATTGGCACCATTGTTGTCGTCTTCCTGTTCGTCATCCTTGTAACCACTGCTAACTTCCCTTTCTAGATCGAAGATACGGTCCTATAGGTAGTAGATGTACTTCACATACGGATAAATAGGTCGAGGATCGACCCACCTAGTGAACCCACAGTTTTCTTCAGACAAGGAAGACTGCAATAAGTATATCATGTAAGTTGTATAGAAGAGGAACATATTGAAGAAATAAATAGTAATAGCAATTACCCATGCTCGTGGGCATTTGAAGAAACGTCGGCCTTCATCTATTCCCTCGGTGAACATCTGCACTAGGCAGTCCTCACCATGCATGCATTTTGGCCACTCTTCTTTCCGTTCATCGTATCCTCTCAGTGGTGCCTCTTTGGTGAAATCACTTTTGCTATCAACTGAGAACCTCTCATAAAGAGCTTCCTCAAAGAAATCGGGACCAAGAGGACCCTCCCATCTAATGGTAGTTCCCTTCCTCTTTCCTCTTCTTCTGGACGACCCTCCAGACATTGGTACTGCAATGAAAGAAAATGCTGAGGAGTGCTCTTCTTCCTTGTTGTGTGTTTGAATGAGAGGGAGTGATGGGTTATTTATAAGTTGAGAGGAGGAATGGAGGCCTCTCAATGTGCCATGTCAGCGATCCGTGTGCCTCTTCGTCTCAGCCCTTGGATCAAACAGTAATAAGATGGATGGTGGAGATGGAGTGAAGTTGTGCTTCCTTGCATGTCTTCCTACCTATAGGTGTACTATTGTCTGAAAAGCCTAGATTCGTTCACTGTTACTGAAAAGCCTAGATTCATCCGCAAAGCGTCTGTACGATACGATTAGACTATACACGTTCTAATGAATTTATATTTAATCTGTGTACTATATTTGTGCCTTTGTAGTAGTGCAGTATAATTAATGATTCACGGAAAAATTCGCAAAAGTTTTCCTTGTTTCAGGAGCATCCACGGTTACAAGCAGAGACATCATTATATAATCCAAACATATAATCATCCAAAGACCACAATACAACCACATCGAACATCACAATCAACATAACATGTCCTGCATAGTCCAAATAGTATACAATGTCCATACAGTCCCAAATAGTTATAGGAAAGTAACTACATACTTTCCAAATCTCCACACATGTAAAATAAACAAAGTCCATGCAGCCAAAATAGTTTATGCCATCGGATCTAAGTTGTTACCATAGTCTTAACCTACAAGTCGTCGTCACTGTCTCCTAGTCTTATCTTTACCCTTGTGGCCAAGAGCGTCGGTGCCTGAAGTCTTAACCTACAAGTCGTCATCACTGTCTCCTAGTCTTAACCTATAGAAATGAAATTGCAATCTACAGAGCTTCACATATTAGTCGGCACAAACTTCAAGCTTTTTTATTTTTTAATCAAGTAACATGTGGGGAAAGCTTTTTTAACCAAGATTTACTCTAATTATATTAGTCGGCACAGCTTTAAGCTTTTTTATTTTTTAATCAAGTAATTGGTTTGGAAAGCTTTTTTTAACTAAGATGCTATATGCACACAGTTGTGCTGCATTCACAACTGCAGATTTTTATTAACAGCAACCATGTAAAATTTTTATAGTGCTTTGCCGTTTTAAATTTTTATAATAGAACTGTGTGGTATTTGAAACTATCTGCTATCTGAAATCATTTTGATTGTGCTTTCTTTTTTGTTATGCAATGCAGGTAGTGGATACTATCCTCAACAGTTAGCACTCTATCGAAAAGCTCCAGAAGTTTCACAGCCGTGCAGCATTTCTCAGATGGTCACCAAATAAAGTATTTGCGAAATGAAGCGGCCACCAGGGCTCATCAGTCATCACTGGTGGAAGCACTGCTGCTTTGCTCTGGCCTCTGGCCGAAAAAAAAAGGCACTGAATATTTGGGCAGCCGGCAGCAAAGCCAAAAAAAAAAACAATGACAGCATGCGTGATGGATGCATGGCTGTCATGCTCATGAGGTGATATTCACTCTGGGAAGGTGACCTGCCATCTTGGCTCAGGCCTGGTTTAGATAGCGGTTAGGAATCAATATTTGATACTGTAGCATTTTCGTTTGTATTTAACAATTATTGTCCAATCATGGTCTAACTAAGCTCAAAAGATTTGTCTCGTAATTTACAATCAAACTGTGTAATTAGTTATTTTTTTATCTATATTTAATACTCCATACATGTGTCCAAATATTTGATGTGATGGAGAGAAAGTGAAAAAACTTACAATCTAAACAAGGCCTCGTATGCATCTCGACACGTTTATCAAAATGTAGCTC